TAGTGGTTGTGAAATCTCCTGGAAAAGAGGTCAAAACCAGTGGGCTTCCTTGTCCCTCCCCACGCCGCGACACACAGGAGCACCCCACAGGCGCGGCAGTTACGTGGGGCAGATGCCATCCACGTAAGCTCTTTTCCTCCCACGGGTTCCTACACCCAATGGGACCGCAGAGGCTTCTGGAGACCTTGCAAACAGTCTAACGTCTAACTCTCCGTGCTCCTGGCAGGGCACACAGCAGAGAGCAAGGCGTCTGGCGCGTGTCATTCTACTCTCTACTCTCGTCCCAGAGAAACAGCTCAGAGCGCCGCCGTTAGTCTGTGAATCCAGGCGCCGCCATTCAGATAACCGGGATTTGCCTTGGACTTCCTCCCAAGGAGCCCTGGTGCTCCTCACCTGCACCGCCCCGTCCTCTGTCCCCTGGGCCTTTTCTCTAGCTCAGTATTTTCCCGTCTTTTCCTGCTCATTCTCTGGAAGTACGCATCTCGCCATCCAGGGATGAACTCAGCAATTAACCAGTATCTGCTTATGGTGTCTCGATTCACCTTCTAGGTGAATGTTACACTTACCTTAGCGGCTACTCGGTTACCACTAGTCCAACGTATTGATGGAGTGTAAACAGTATTTCAAATCGGAAATGTTTTAGTGCAACACTTAACATTTGCAGCCTACTTTGCTTTCTATTTATTGACACACTTTCTAAGAGATGGCAGAGCACCACGCTCCTTTTCTAGGAAGAGCCAAGTTGGACAGGCAGAAATGGCGTGTCTGAGGATACTTGTAACATACATTAGAATATGTGTTTTATTTCATCATATAATAGAAGTTGTCTCAAGCATCCAGTGAGATCCTGAGAGTTTCACCAGCTCCTGGTGAGGCTGCTGCCCCCGCTGGGAGGAGTGGAGGGGGCTGGAACTCTCTGCTTCCTCTCCAGAGCCTCCTGCCACCACCTGCCTTGGGACCACTGGATCTTGTCATGTGTCATCAGATGTAAATTCCCTGACTGATAGGTCCTGTTTATATCACTCACCAAAGAATGCCTGACTCCCCTGCCATCTCTCTGGGCTGACCCCTAGCCCCCATATCCAGCTCTTTCATCCAAAACCCTCCCATATCCTTCAGCTGCCCCGACTCTTGCGACCCCTCCCCATGCTTGGGGAACCCACAGGCAGTCAGCAGTAACTGCCCTGAGCTGCAATCTACCTTTTCAGTGTGTCCCTTCCATTCTTCCGTGACACTGGCTCGTAGCTGAGGACACTACTTCCTTGAAGCTCCCTCAAACATTCTAGCTATGGGGCCCCCGTGCCATCAAGCATTGCTCTGCAGTATCCCCAGTGGAACATTTTTCCTTTTTCTTTCTAAAACCCTCCAGCTTTCCATTTCAAACAGTTAGGCTATGCCACACTGTGCCCCATTTCTTCTTTTGCAGTCAGCTACTGATCACTCTCCCTCTCTCTTCCCACTCCCTTCAAGTCTTCAGTCCCTAGCCCAACATGACTTTCTCCAAGTTGGCTCTGGTGACAATTCCCAAAGATCTCAGTGAGCACATGGTGATCTTCCCTGGAAGTCAGGAACACCCTGACTTCCCACGTGACCTCTACACCTCCAGTCACCTTGTCCTCCCCCCTCCCTCAGACACTCGGCATTCCTGGAGCTCCCCTCAACTGTGCTGTTGCTGATCATGCATCTCTTCCATGACCTCCATTTGAAGTATTTCATTCTTTGGCCAACACCTGTTTTTTTTCAGCTAAACCCTAATACCTAAACTCCCCAAATTCTTTTGGCCCAGTGGGGTCTGTAACCAACTGCTCCCACCAGTTTTCCCTGTGCCTCTCTCAGCTCACTCCTCTGCTTGCCCAGCTGAAATTTCATTGTCAGTCATCACAGTCATTCCCTCAGGTCCACTCTCACCTCCTTTGGTTCTCTCTTGTTTTTGTTTGTTTTCTTTTGTTTTTGAGACAAGACTCTCACTCAGCCATCCTGGCTAGAGGACAGTGGCATCATCATAGCTTAAAGCAACCTCAAACTTCTGGGCTCAAGCCATCCTCCTGCCTCAGCCTCCTGGGTAGCTGAGACCACCGACAGACACCACCATGCCCAGCTAAGTTTTCTAATTTTTGTAGAAACATAAGGCCTCGCTCTTGCTCAGGCTTGTCTTGAACTCTTGACCTTAAGCAATCCTCCCGCCTTGGCCTCCCAGAGTGCTAGGATTATAGGCCCCTGCACCTGGCCTCTCTCTTGTTTTTGTCACACTTAGATGGCAAAATCCCAATGCCAATTAATCTGACACCCTGCCCTTCTGCGTCTGTGCCTACACAGTAAAGTGTGACTGAAAAACACGCAGGCTTGTTGATCTCACTCCAGGTTCCTCCATCCCCCAAGCTTATCCCATCCCTACCCTCCTAAACGACACTTTCAGTATCTTTTCCTTTCCCTGTAAAACTCTTTCCCATTGTCACTCTCAGCCGATGAGCTGTCTTCCTGTTCCACTGAGCAAAGGGAAACAAGCAGCGGGGTGTTTGGGAATGTTCCCTGCCAGACCCTCTGCTCACACTGGACTGACACAATCCGCCTTCCTGACCACTGCCAGGCTGAGCTGCCCACTTTCCTGTCCAAGGCCAAGACCACATCCAAGACGTTGCTCCTGAATTCTTCCCTCTCTTCTGCATCATCCACGTCCTGACTCCTCTAACTGAGTCATTACCATCGGTACCCAGACATGCTGGAATTTTCCCATTAAAAAGAAAATTGTCTTGATCTTCCCCCAGCTCCCTCGTTTCTTTACTTGCCTTTACAGCTAAGTTCCTCAGAAACAATGAGAAAGTCGTCTGTATCTGCAATCTCCTACTCCTCTGCTCCCCGCTCATGTGAAGCCCTTCTAGCAGGTGTCTTCACCCTCACCATCCACGGCCAAGGTCAACAGGGACCTCCAGGCTGCGAAACCTAGTGCTCATCTCACATCCTCATCCTACATGCTGAGCGTAGGACGTGGTGATCACTCCTTCTCCTAGAAACGCTTTCCTCCTTTGGCTTCTAGTTCAGAACGCTTGCCCGGATTTCTTCCTGCCATACTCCGGCCCTGCCTTATGCAATCTGGTCCCTCTTTGTCCTGCTCAGCACCCCATACCCTGCCCCAGTCATGCTGGCCTCTGGACTACTTTGAACGGACAAGACACATGGTCACTTCAGGGCTTCTGTGCTGGCTTTGACCTTTCTCTGGAGTCTCCTTTCCCAGAGCTCACCACGGTGCCTCCCTGGAGACCTTGCAGTCTTTGGTCATGCAGGACCTGCTCTGTGAGACGTCCGGACGTTCACCGATCATCTTATATAAAATCTCACCTCTTTCCCCAGCATTCACTGTCACTCTTTCTGTTTTCATTTTTCTCCATAGCAATGACAACCATCTAGCATTACATATACTAAATGTGCTATGTGTATATAAAATAGTCTTCCTCAAGTAAAAATGAGCCTGATGGAGATTTCTTTTTCACCTTTCTATCCCTGTAACCTGGATGGTGTATAGCACAGATGAGGTGCTTAGTAACTATCTGCTGAATGAAAGGAAAAAAAATGAAGGAAGGAAGGAAGGAAACTTCAAGAAATCAAGATCAATATTGCACTATATTGCCATAGCTAATCAGGGTAATATTAATTTTGATTATAGCTTGATTAAATTTGTAGGAATATGAAAAGTGGCTTGACTTTTATGCAAATCTAAGGAGATGATTACTGTTGGTTTCTCTCCCTACTAATTATATAGTGACTCTAAAGCAAATAGGGAAACAATTTGCAAATATTGGTTCAAGTTAGAAGAGAAGGCTCCATTATCTGAGTAGAAATGTCAGGGTAACAATCAGTGATTCTTGCTTTCAGGAGTCTTTCAGGCTTGCACTGGGGAATAGCCATGAGATAAACGTATGTTGGGAGATTCAGGTATCAATTTTTACCTGCAATGTAGGACAACTGATTTTGCCTTTCTTCGAATAAACATTTATGCCCACTATTCTGGAAACTCACAATACAAACAAATGAAGAAGGCATATTGTAACATGCTAATTCAAGGATGTAGAAATGATTCTAGTTTGTTATCTTCTCCTAGTTAACACCTTCCTGTTTTTAATCTCATATTGGAAACTGGCCATTGCAATTTGCCATATATACGTCAAACAAAAACACACAGACCCAAGACTCATTGGCAAAACGGAGTCACCACATCTCCATTTGCATGTTGTCTGGTTTGAGTTGGCAAAGACAATCTTTGGGAGTAAAAATCAACAACAACAGAGTGTGAGTTAGGTCAACAGCAAGTTGCCTACTACTTAATTATTTTAAGATAATTTGCCATTTAGATTTAATATCCTAACCTAGAGTCTCTAATTCCATATGAGGCTCAAGAGATGCATTTTTAAGCAATCAAAAGTATATGTATGTGTACATGTATATATAATATTAAGTACCCTGAATTATTTACTAGCACATCTATTTAAAGTATATCATGCCTCACTGAGCACAACTGAGCATTTAAATAATTGACTATAAATGGGCCATCCTTTGTATATAAGTCACACGCTCACAACCATGTAGAAAGTGTCTGCCACGAGGTATAGATAACATACAAGGGACACATATCTGGAGCAAAGAGTTTGCACATCCACCCACGGAGAGCAAATCAGGAGTGCCTGTGACTATCAATCCCTCAGGCACAATTCATCTCTGCGTTTATTTGTTTGCTCATCTGCCACTATGCAGTACCTGCTTACTGCTCAAGTCTTGAGATGAAACGCACTGGCAGATAGCAGATGTACCAATTAATAACCTGTCAGGTCTGATGGATAGAAGAGGAAAAAAGTGTCCTCACACATATCTGCAGTGTGGTTTTCTTCCCCATTTCAGGGCGCCGAGGGTCAGGAGACTCACTCTGCCTCCCTGGAGAGAGCCCGAACTGTCTCATTAGCGTCTACGTCTCATGACAGTCTGACGCAGCCTTTGAGATGCTAACTCACCTGCTCTTCTCCCAGAATCCTGAAGTGATGGAGCTCTTTAATCAAGGAGTTGGGACAGCCAGCTGTTAGGAAGAAGAATTAATCACAAAAATGTCATTCTCATTCCGCATGGTAATATGTTCTTACGTACAGTTTGTGACTATCAACCACCAATGCTGTTGTTTGAGAGGACACGCTTCTGTACCTGAAGAACACATGTCTAACCAACCACCAAAGAGTCAAGCTGTCCAAGGAGCTTGTGGCCACCGCCTGGCCTCTAGCTGTCACTTCTCGTGTGACTCTGGTCAGGCCTTTTCTCCTCTTGATTAGGATCAGGCCCTTGCGGAGACTGAGTATCACACAGGTTCTGTCCTTAGAAACATGCCCAGCATGCCACTTGTCCCTAATGTAGAGCCAGGCTCTTGTGAGGCCAGAGTGGGGGAGTTGTGACCACAGGCTCTTAGTTATTTATCATGCCCTGTTTCCTCACCCTCCGGCCCGGGGTTCTGCTCATCCACAGTTAAGAATGGAAATGGGGCAGCTGCACGTCCTGTCTTCATAGGATTCAGCTGTAGTTTAGGACCTGGCTTGGTTTTGCCAAGAGGCTTTGTCAAAACCCATACGGTCCTGAAGTTGAGTTTGGAAAGGGTGTCTTACAGGGCCTGGAGAGAGGGCTGTGGCGTCCCTGGTGTCCACACTTCCCAGGTCTACTCAATGTGAGCCTCCTCAGGCCTTCGCATTTTCTTTTTTTAGTAGTAAAATGAAATAAGTAAACAAATAAATCTTATATATAACTTATATAAATCTTGGCCTAAATGTATATCGGTATATATTTATATATAATAATAATAAAAAATATAACAGTTTATATATATAAATTAAATTTATATATAAAAATAAATTTATATATAAAATACATTTTATGTATGTATATATGTATACAGTTCACCCTTGAGAAACACAGTCCACTCATACACAAATTTTCTTCCACCTCTGCCACTCCTGAGACAGCAAGACCAACCCCTCCTCTTCCTCTTCCTCCCCAGCTTACTCAGTGTGAAGATGAGGATGAAGACCTTTATGGTGACCCATTTCCACTTAACAGTAAATATATTTTCTCTTCCTTATGATTTTCTTAACAACATTTTCTTTAATCTAGCTTACTTTATTGTTAGAAAACAGTGTATAACACATACAACATACAAAATATATGTTAATTAACTGTTAATGCTAATGTATGTTAATTAACTGTTAATGTTATCAGTAAGGCCTCCAGTCAATGGCAGGCTATTAGTAGTTGTTAAGTTTTGGGGGAGTCCAAAGTTATATGTGGATTTTCAACTGCGCAGGGCATCAGTGCATCCAATCCCCTCATAGTTCAAGGACTGACCGTGTGTGTGTGTGTGTGTGTGTGTGTGCACGTGCACGTAAATTTAGGCCAGTGCATGCTTAGTACTATTTAAAACGTGTTCCACCCTGTCTTTTCCATAGAATTATTCCACAGTATTAGGTTGTAGTCATTTATAGTATTCACTCTGGAAAGAAAATTGATATAAAAACCTGTGTCTTTGAGATAAGCCCATGGATTACATAATCTGCTGATGTTTCTTTCTATTAAGGAAATTGGATTGTATGCAGAACATATCAAAAAATTATGGAGCCATTTCTTACATTGCTCAGCACTGTGAGATAAGAATGGCCAGAAGTACAAGAGGGTTTGTCTGGGGAAGGGTGGGCTGAGGAATGAAATGATGAAACGTGTTTTCACACAGGTGAAGAAGGTATTGTCTTTTGCAAGAGAAATTAGATTTTTGCATTGATCTAGAAGGTAGGATTCACACCGACAGAAAAATGAAATAAATTGCTCTATAAGCTAGTAACTGAGGGTTTTTAAACAGGTATTAAATGAATACTTATGCAGGATATCTTAGAGAGGAATTTGACTGAGTGCCATAATTAATTTTAATACGTCCACTTGATTGGTCTAAGGGATGCCCAGATAGCTGGTAAAATAGTTCTAGGTGTACCCGTGAGGCTGTTTCTGGAAGAGATCAGCATATGCATCAGTGGACTGAGTGAAGAAGATCTGCCCTCACCAATGTGGGCAGGTGACATCCAATCTATTGAGGGCACTGAGGACAAGAATAGAAAAGGAGAATTTGCGAAGGGCGAATTCTCCTTCTCTTATGGTGCTCAGACAGCCACCCTTTCCTACTCTCAGACATTGGATCTCCTGCTTCTCAGGCCTCCGACTCACACTGAATCATAACACTGGCTCCCTGGTTCTCCAGCTCGCAGACAGCAGATTGTGGGACTTCTCGGCCTCCATAATTGTGTGAGCCAATTCCCCTAATAAGTCTCCTCCTGTGTGTATCCGTGTGTGTCCTATTGGTTCTGTTTCTCTGGAGAACCTTGACTGACACCCTGGGTAGTTCCAATTCTGAAATTCTGCGGTCCTGTAAAATGCTGGGACATAGTTTTAGTCTTTATTACATAACATTTCATACCTTGAGAAAATGGTTCATAAATGTTTACTGAGGTAGTACAAAAGGTTTTTAAAATATGAACAAAAAAATTTAACAGAAATATAAACAGGTGATGTCACCACCTGAAAAAAAATGTAGAAAATGAATGAAAATCCTGAGGTAGATGTTTTGGTTGAAAACATAATGGATTAGCTGCCACAGGCACACCTGATACAGCAGAGGAATGAAAGCAAGACCTCTGAAGGGAGAAAATATGCTTGAGCTGAGTGTTTCTTCAACTGGAGGCCACAGAGACTGGCAGGCTGAAGTTTTTTTTGTTTTGTTTTGTTTTTTGGAGAAGTTGTTCATTTTGGGGATGCTATTCTGATGATTAGCTAAACAATTAGTAAAAGCATATTCTGGATCATTTGATTGGCTGCAGTTCAGCTAAGAGCTGCTATGCAAATTCAGCCTCATGTCAGTTCTTGGGCTTTCCATCTCTTTGGGAGCAAATCATTATATTTTAGTTTTCTGAGGCGAATGAGAAGAGTAGAAGCAGATCAATTACAAGGATGCATTCCCAGAAAGTGGCTGTCCTACAGTCCGAGGGGAAGAGGCAGAGGGAGGGAAGGTAGCCTGCAGGATCACAGGCAGGCAGAGACGAGAAGAATCTAGGCCAACCCTTCAGGGCTCTGTTTGGAGCCCAAGCAATTGTTCAGTGTCAGTAAAATGACAGAATCTGCCATATTAAATTCATAGAGTTAATCTGTATAATTTGGTTTTGTACCTTTAGCTATAGTTACTTAATTAATTATATGTAATTAATTAAAGTTTTTATTTGGGCTCTCTAGTTGTATAGGCATAAAATGTTTACATCTTGTTAGGGACAGAAAAACAAGAGGTAATGATGGAATGATAGGAGCAGAAAAACAAGTAGGAGGAAACAAAGAAAAACAATGAGAAGGAAATAATTACAGAACAATAACCAGGGAAAACAGTTATTTCAGTCTTAAAAAAATGGGTAATTAGACCATGGAACAGTGACCACCAATCAGAAAATGGAAAAACACCATAAACGGTGACTTTCCCCATCACACGTATAGGAGAAAGGACTGTCTGGAACATGACCTTTAAGTTATGCCCATGCCTAGAAAAATCCAGACCCCCAAACCCGTGGTATATAGTCATAAGTAATTATAACTGACCTTTACATCAACATATACTAATAGCATATAAAAGGAGGTGTTTTAGAGTTAATTAGGGTTTTCTCCACTAACGGAGACAGACCAAATTTCTCCCTAGGAAATGTATTTTCGCTTTGCATCCTTAAACTTTCCTTGCAATAAAGTCTTCACACACACTCGCTGAGGGTCTGTCATCTCGCTCCATCGCATGGGCCAAGGCTTGCGATTCCTCCAAGCCAGGAGCCCAAGAACTGGGGAAACACTTCAAAGTCCAGCCATGGACAGGACTGTGACAATCTCGGTTTATGTCTCCACATATTTAAGGAATATTATCTTAAAAATAATTTTACTCAGCCTCAGATATTTTAGAGAATCTTTTTTTTTCTTTACAAGTGTTCTATCACTCAAATTTGAGAGAAACGACTTTGACTTATTTTAATTGTGGGTAAAATAAGAAACAAAATTTAAAATTAGCTTATCTTTTGAATTTGTATTCTTGCATTCTCCTAAGATATAAGCAAAAGGATTGATGTCAATGATAGCTCAAATACAAACATCTTTAACAGAAGACTTGATAATTACCCGAAACACCTGGTAGGTGCGGTGAAATGTAATAAACAAGGATAGATATAGCATCTCGCTGGGAGGGAAGAATTGTGATGGGTCAAGCTATTGCGAGAGGATGGTGGAGGGGGACCACCTGTAAACTATTCATCACAGGAACATCGATGTGGGAGATGGGCAGATATAAACTTAAATAACAACACTAGAAATGCAAGACAGGCACACAGAATACATTAGTGTAGTGAGGAAGCAAAAGGTTAGTGGAGGGGGTGTAGGTGGCTGGGAGGAAAAATAATGGGCCTGGCAAACAAAGACTCTAGTACTAGTTCCAGGTCTGGAGTGGCAGAAACCGTATCCAAGCCTGCCAAGCCCGTGCACGCATCACCTCCCTCCAGAGGAGTTCTTCCACATTCGCTTCTGGTGAGTCCACGTGGGCTCTTAGTGATTCCATATCGCTGGATAAGTGCTCATACTACTTTTCCTTTTTTTTTTTTTTTTTTTTTAAGAGACAGTGTCTTGCTCTATCACCTAGGCTGAGTGCAGTGGTGCATTCCTAACTTTTTTCTTTCTTTCTTTCTTTTCTTTTTTTGGTGGTTGATGGCTAAAACCGATATTAAACTCAATACTTTTCAACTTTCAAGATTCAATCCTTCCTCATTTTGAAAAGTTAAAAAAAATGAATAAACAAGCAAACGTCTCCAGAGCTCTGAACTCTAGTTCCTTTCTCTGCAGTGTCTCACGGGTTCCTGGCAGCAACTCTGAGATTATGCATGGAAGTGTTCGGAGATCTATTGGCGCAACATACCAATATTTGCGTGTTCCCTATGCTCTTCTCACTTTTCTTAAGTACAAGGTCCTTCTTCAATTGTTTTTCTGTCCTTTCTAACATGAGAAATACTCTTTGCTTGAGAAAACAAGAAACAGAAATTTGGTAGTGTTTTCGTCTACTGACATTGTTTGACCTTCCTGGTTGAGAGCACCCTCTTCTCTCACTGTCTTTGCCCTCCTTCCTTGTTCTGGACCCAAATTTTAAAACCTATTTTGTTGTCCTTGGTTATTTAAATTAGAATTTCATTTCATTCTGAGTTATCCTGAAGACATGCTCACAGGTCTGTGCTCTTTTATTGTGTTTTTCCCCCGGGCTAATAAACATCCTCCCTCATCCCTTGTATGCGTGTTCTAAAAATCTGGGCTCATTGTAAATAAAAATAAACTGCCTGTTTGGTATTAAAAATGAACAAGGCAATTTATTAAAAAACATATGAAGGCAGAATTGAATCTTATTTTTTTTAAGGGATAACTTTGAAATTGAGCCTTTTATTTCAATTAGTATCTGTAATCAACATTTAGTTTCATTCTGTTGCTATATCATAAAGATTATTTCATAATCTAATTGAGAACCACCTCAATGGAACTGCATTGCAAAGCTGTGGATCATTTCCATACAGTCACTGATAGCTACTTTAAGAAAAAATAATACTCCATAACAAAAGAAAACCTTTGAGGGATTAGTTAAACCACAACTTTTTCAGAAAGCTTTTGCTGAATTTCCTTAATAACCATGCTGTAGAGTAGGAAAAA